AAATATTATTATGATTTATTATGTTGTTATACTTTAATATTTAAACCATATAAAACATAATAAACATTATTTATTATCGTTTAATTTGTCAAGTATTAAATTTACATTAAATCATATATTTTTATCAAACTACACAAAATATTGTTTTGAAAATCTTTATACGTATAAATTATACTATTCTTAATAAATAGGTATATCACATTTTATTATTTTAATAGTTTAATTGTTTGTAAAATATCTCGAATAAGTAAAACGGTGTATTATTACATAAGAATATTTTCTATTTTCTATAAATAGATATAAAAATATATAATAATATATAATATATAAAAATAGCTAATAAAATTGGAGTATTCTATCTTTGGAATGACTATATACGAGTTGTATTCAAAATGGTAAATTCTATTTTCCGAAAATGTATTGGGATATTATAAATATTGTAGTTGAATTGATGTAAGCGTATAGCTATATTTTTCTTACTTATGTACGAACAATTGAAATTTTTGGATTCAAAAGGTTAATGAAATTACAAATTTTATTTACAACAATTTATTGACTTTTTCTTATTGTATAATAAGATATTGAAGTTTGTGAATGAGAATATTTATGTTATGAGTATTTTGTAAATTATAAATTAATAGCAACTGTCATTGATTCCGTGGTCACTTAAATATTGTTTCGATTTTTATTTATAGATATAAATAACCTTCGGATACAGTGACTATATCCATAGGGCCCTCCTGGATATCTTATATCTTATTGATGGAAGATTGTCATAATTAAAACTATATTTAGTTTTTATTGATCTATAAGTTTTACTTCTTACATTAGTTATAAGCAAGATAATTTTTCTTTAGATGATTAATATTAATAATAGGTTTTGAGAGAATATTTAGACTATAAAGAGGTAGACAAGTTTAAAGAAAAACTCAATCATAAGCGATATACAAATTTTGAGAATTAAAATTTTAAGGTGATGAATTATTATTGACTAAAGGTTTTAAGAGAAAATTTATGTTATAAGAAAGATCAAATACCCTATAGATTTTATTTAATGCTAGTAACGCAATTCAGTTAGACAATTTTAAAGATAAAATAAAAATTTAAAAGACAAATAATTAAATATTTTAAAACCTTTATCGCAAGAAGAATCTGATATATTTTCAAAGCTAAATAGGACGTTTACTATACATTAAGAATGATAGACTATAAACAATTTGGTATTAGCAACCATCCATGGTCTATACTCCATAGATACTCGGGAACAAATAAGAAAGTTAGCACGTAATATTATATAGGAAATATTAAAATAAATAACGAATCAATAGAGAAATTAACAAATAACAAAAGTCTTTGTCCTAAAAGACTAAAATCATACAATAGCGTCATCTATCGATCGAAGTAAGTATAAATCGGGAAATGCATTGTAGAACCGTTGATATAACTAAAACGACAGCTGTTGAATATAATATTATAATATAGGTAATTATAAATGTATTACACATATTTTTGCTGTTTTAATTGTGATGATTACAAATAAGAAGATATGTATTTATAAAAGTATAAAATATTAATTTTAATCAGTTTACAAGGAAAAATATGTGGTCTACAAATAAGACAGCATAAAGTTTTAAGACAACAAAATAACATCATAATTCATAGTGATAAGTGTTCTGTATTATTTTAGTTCGTGCGGTTTAAGAAAATTACCATAACCTTTATAAAGACTTTTCGTCTATAAATTCAATTACATAAACAAACAATTCTCCATCAACAATCATATTCTCTATCCGGTTTATTTTAATGCTGTGCAGGATGTCTGAAAATAATGTATTTGAATTTATAATGACATTTTCAAATATTTAGATTAACTTTAATAGCTTTCGTCTATTAATAGGACTTGAAATGACTGAAATACAAGTTCGTGGGATGTATGATGATGTATATGTGATTGGAATTAATGGTTATACTGGTTTATAGCCATAGGCTGTCACTCGTACCTTGTAAGTACCGGTTTTAAAGCGCATCTTCAGCGAGGTGTTCGAGTATTACGACCCCGGTCATTCAGTTTGTTTCGGTTAATAGGAGCTGAAAGAAAATATGTACATTGTACCATCAAATAAAAATTATACATTTAAAAATAATATTAAAATATTAAATAACTATAAAATTAAAATAAACAATAACGTATATTATATTCAATTAATAAATATTTTCTAAAAAGGAATATAAGATTTCTTATTTCTCATATTTCCATTAGGTACATCAAGAAAAAGGTAGGTGAGAGTAGTTACCGTTCTGCTATACACTTTTTATAGCAGTCGATTGGACGTGTTAAATTTAATTTAATAATATATCATTTTACTTGAAAACGATTCTGAACGGTCTTCAGCCTACATCATAAGTATATTTAATATTTATGATATATTTCTTTGATAATAGATTAAATGATTTATTTTATTTATAAGTTATAGTATTGAAGTAGATTGATATAATTTTTCGAAAATATTACATTTATTATATTATATTTAGGTATTTATTTATACCATATATCATTTATACAACTCAAAATTTAATAACTTATTTCTGTAAATGCTGTAAAACGGTAAAATATAGATTTATACTTTAAAGTACCTACTAATAAATAAATAATATTTAAAATAAATCAAAATAATATTCCTTTAGTAAAATACATAAAAGTTTAAAAATGTTTTCAGTTATAACAATATAATAACAATGAAAGTTATTAATCGTTTAAATAGTAATTTCGTTCAAGTTTGAACTTAGAATGTCATTAAAATAATTGTCTTTGTACATTTTTAGATTTTATGGTTTCAATATGAACTTATGAAGAACCATGTATACGATTTTCAAAACTTAGATACAAAGAAAAGATTTTATGAATTTTAACCATAAAATCGTTTACAATATTTTGCAATTGTCAAAATTCTAACTTCAAGGCGTGTCAAAGAAATGTTGTCAATTTATTTTGATATTTTAATAGAGTTACAAGAACTTTTAGGATCTTTATTAAATTTTCAAACAACCTGCAAATAATTTTTAATCGACATTAATATAGAAAAATTAAAAATTTATTTCTTATGCTTATAAATATAAATTAAAATTTTATTTTTGTAAATAGATAATATAAACATTTAGTGAAAATATAAATTATTTACGGTAATTTGTTTAAGGATTACATAAAAATTGAAATCAATTTCATAAAATTCTGTTTTCCTTAATTGTTTGTTTTTTTTCCTGATTACAAAAATAAGTACTTGGTATTTTTCAATTTGATCTCTTTAAATACAAACTAGATCAATTTTATATCCAAAACCACTTCCATTTTTGAAAACTGAAGCATTTGTTGATAACATCGTTTACTCATCTATAAAAAAAAAATACATTATAATAAAATCAATACATCCATAGTTCCTCTGAGGGCTAAGGCTCTAAACAGTCTAAACAGTTATTCCGGATATTCGTCATTTAATTTCATGTCCCGGTTTGTGGATTTCAAGATCTGGCCACCTTAGACTCATAGGATACCTACAAATTTTTGATAACTATATGAATTCACTATTTTGTATAAATAGAATATTGGTAAAAGAAAATTTTGTTTACCAACCAAATATTTAATATTCTAATTTCTAATAATATAATTTCAATAGATTAATATACAAATATTGATGATGTTAATTTCAAAACTTTAAAATATTAAAATGAAAATTATACGTCGAAATTGTGTTAGATTTATAGTGTATTATTTAGTTATATCTATAGGTATGTATTATGTAGGTACATAATTACCTATTACTCATTTAATCCAATATTAATATACCTAATCATATTTTTATTTTTTTGCATCTTTCAGAGTACCTACATTATTATTTTTGTTTAGTAATCAGTATGCAGTCGTTTTTAATTATTATATTTTTTTTTTTTATGAGCCTAATATTATAATTGGAAGGTGCCTTAAATAGTCACCAAGTCCTCTCCTACTCCTTTCTACGCCTATGGTAACGGGCACGAATTAAATATAATACTAAATACCAATGTATTATACATTAAATAATATATTACGTCGTAGACTTGTAGTGTACTAATGAGTAATGAGTACAGCTACACTGCTACAGCATCGTACCCTTAGATCATATACGTATATGATCTAAGATCGTACCAAATAAATACGGAACATAATATTTATATTATTATTATTTCTTTTATCACAATCTTAGATAATATAACCACGGTTCTATTTTAGATTGATAAAAACAGCGATGAACAACAATAACGAATTACAATTCGTTGGCTGCAAGTGCGATACTGCGATTTTGCATTCGCCTTTATAGACAAATAGTTCACACGATCACACTGGCAAACAGCAGGGAATTGCATGTTTATTTAACATTTTTCGCTGGGGACGAAACGAGATCTAATTAGTAAATACATGGTGAATGGCGATGTCAGTCTGTTGTTGGCGTCTGAACTCTGAACCTCGGACACTGTGATTGAAAATTCGCAGTTCCATTGTTCCATACTTTCGTGTGAATTATTCGGACGATTTTGCACGAAAACAGATCGAATCAGGCAGGTACCTTATTGCATCGTATGTGCACCGCGTTTGTCATAAGATATAAATATTCAACAATAATATCCACTATGGTGGGATAGTGGGTACTGGGTAGTGTTACTAGTGTTGTGTGTACATTGAGCACATCGCTGTCGAGCTATTACGTGATAGAAAAAAAAAATAGGAGGAATAACACAACGAGAACAGGTTTGGGTGACCTCAATATAATTAAAACTTTACAAGGCCGTTTGTATTTGTTGTTTTGTTTTGTACGTGATGAAAAGTCATCACAGCCACAGTACTATAGTAGTGTATAGGAGATACTTTTATTATAAACTTTTAATATATTTAATGTACGTAATGTTTTGATATTTTGTAATAATAATATATAATTATATATTGTTTGAGTGACAAATAATAAATTAAAATGGATGTCACCAAGTTGGATGAAGAAGAATTGTCATATGAGTTGAGAGTCAGAGGAATAGCTGCCATGACCAATGTAAATGAAATGAGGAGTGTTCTGCGTGGTCTGTTGAGAATTGAAGTTGAGGGCAATTCATTAATAAACACTGACAGTACGGTTTCAGTAGTTGATGTAAAAAGTGAAGTGAAGACGTGCGTTAAAAAGTTACAAGTTATCAATGCAATGATTGACAACATTCAAGGGGACAGGTACAGCGAACAGTATAGATCAGCAGATGCAAAACTATGTCATTTAATGAATCGTGTAGATAAGATACCAGCTGTTGAAAAACGAGATCAAAATGACAGGTCTAATTTATTGAAAGGAATATTATTTTTAATGAGAAAAATGGAAGGTATGGCATCTAATACAAGTGTTGTTGAAACAAATACAAATCAAAATGGTAACACAGGTAAAAACTTAACTTCATTGAATTACACACTTTTACAATAAGAAACAATTAAAAATATAATTCTGGCATGCAACAAGACTGTGGTAATAGATGATAATATTAACATACTTCCATTCATTTTATAATGCTTATTTTGTTTCTAAACTAATTTGATGTATGTATTACTGTAAAAATTAAAATTAGATAAATCAAAATAAATATTATTTAATTTTTATACTTAGCTGGAGCGGGTTCTGTAGTCTTATATGAGAAAACAACTACCACAGAAATGAATTCAACTTATGGATATGCTGAATCTGCTGCTTCAGATGAAGAAGTTGGAACAGTAAATAACCAATTCTTACATCTTATTTTATGTTACTAATAAATATTTATTTAGGAGTATTTTGTCCAACAAGGTGTAGCAATAAAAAGCTTAAGTAAATTACACAAAGGATCCAAGAGTCATAAAAATGCAGAAACTCATTATACAGGATTATTGAGAATTATGAAATATGTAAGATTTTGTAACCAGAAATATTTTTTTTAAGGGCTTAATAATTATAAATATGTTTTTTAGAGAAATGCTAAATTTATTGAATGGAAGCCAACTGAAATGTCTATATTTCCTGATGTAGATGAATGGAATATAGTTGATACAGGATACAAACAAAATGGAAGAAATAAAAGTAAGTAAATTCAGAATATTGATCTTTTATCTTCTATTTTATAATATGTAAGGTAAATTAAGATTAAATTGAAGAAAATATTATCATTATAATTAGTATGTTAACATTTAATTAATTTTTTTATTTTTATATAGATGATCGTAATAGTATTGATATAAAAATTAACTTGGCTACAATGAAGAGTTATAAAATGAAAAAACATAAAAAATATCAAATATCAATACTCCAAACTAATGGTTCACTTGTCACATTTTTGTTTGAAAGCTCACCTATTAATGATTTTGTGACTGCGTTGAAGACTTTACTTCATACAGAAAAGTACTAAATTTATACATTAAAAAACACAATATTAACTAAAGATATTAATTATTATCTAATTCCATTAAATTAGAGAAATACGACACCACAGACCAACTGGAGTCATTTTGGTATTAGGTGAGCGACAAGATTCAGACCCTCTGTGTCAGTCAATTAAAGAGTTAAAAATATTTCCTGATCAACCACCCACTAGTACAGTCTGGAGTTTTATTAGTGGGTTCCAAAACAATCCTATGGAAAAAACTTATGAAACATTTGCAAAAATTAGTGATGTTCTATGTGAGTAAATTATACTATATTACATTATAATATAATGTACTAAATTTACTTACAAAATTGTATATTGAATTTGAAGTGACTCGGACGCCAGATACAAGACCAGACCAAGAAGTGGCCGAACTCTTAAATAGAGCTGAGGAAGATGACGAATATACCATGGTGGATCATCCCCCACCAACTTTATTGCCACCAAGACCGGGAATAAAGCCAAGAGGAAATCCATTAGATCAAACCACATTTTATCAATCTATGAATGAAGAGGGTCGAATAACAAATGAAGATTACATCAAAAACATAATTTTTTTTGGAGTAAGAAAGTTATATTAATATATATAATACGTAAATATTGTTATTAATTTGATTTGTATAATTAGGGTTGTGAAAATTCAATAAGACACGAAGTATGGAAGTACTTACTTGGATATTATCCTTGGAATTCTACTCGAGAACAACGTATAAACATTGATAGGCAACAAAAAACTGAATATGAGAGAATGAAAATACAATGGATGAATATGTCTTCTGATCAAATATCTAGATTTAATAAGTATAGAGATCATAAGAGCCTAATAGGTAAATATTTTGGCAATCTTCCTATTTTAATGATTAATAATTTTTTTTTTTTTTTTTTGACTACAGATAAAGATGTTTATAGAACTGACCGCGCTCTAGATTTTTATGCTGGAGAAGGAAATGAAAATCTTATTAAACTACATAATGTATTAATGACTTATGTTATGTACAATTTTGATCTCGGTTATGTCCAGGGTATGAGTGACTTATTATCACCAATATTAATGATAATGAACAGTGATGAGGTAGAATCATTTTGGTGTTTTGTGGGTTTCATGAACAGAGTTGTGAGTCTAATAAAAATTTATGACACAAATTTTACTAAGTAAATCATAATCTAGATTATTATTACATTTTTTTTTAATTTTAGAATACAAACTTTGAATTAAAACAAACTGGCATGAAAAAACAGTTAAACGATTTGCATTATTTGCTTACAACTGTATCACCAAAATTGGAAAATCATTTGAAAAAGATGGATTCTAGCAACATGTACTTTTGCTTTAGATGGCTTTTGGTTTTGTTTAAACGAGAATTTATTTATACTGACATCATGCGGTTGTGGGAAGTATTATGGACAGATATTCCATGTGCAAATTTCCATTTACTAATATGTGTGGCAATATTGGATAATGAAAAGGATATTATTATCAATGAAAATTATGGACTAACTGAAATATTAAAGGTTAGTATTGTTATTCAATTCAGTATTATTTACTATACTAATAAAATATATTATTTAATCCAAAAGAATTTTCATTCTTTTAATAACCAGTTTAAACAAATTTATTAGAATTTTAACATAGTAACACAAGTACTTTATTTTAATTAATGTTTTCAGCACGTTAATAATTTATGTGAACGAATTGATTTGGATAAAGCTTTAACTACAGCTTATAGTATTTATGAACAGTTGAAAGAAGCGCAGCCATCATTGCAAGATTCAGTTAATGAATTACTTGGATTTTCGATATCTCGCACTGAATCTATATTATCTAATGACAGCAATTCTAGAGAAGATGATTATGAAAAAGCCTTATCGATGAATTATACATAATAAGTAATAACTAAACAGTTTATGTTTAGAAAGATATGACTGTGATCAAAGTAAAATTTTATAATCTCATAGTTTTAAACCTTTTAAAGAGATTATATAAAATACTTAAATCAGTTTATATAAAAAAAAAAACAATTTTTTGTTCAATTTATGTTAACCTTGTATTTATGTAATCTACACATTATATTTATTATTGTTGTTAATTATATTGTGATATTTACCTTTTTTGGTCGACAAATTTCTGGATGTTTAATTTGAATTTGATTTGTATTCCACAACACATGTACTGAAGTCTTTATGATTGTGTATCAGTCATTAGAATATTTTATAATTCTTTAAACACACCACTTTTTTGTACAATTTATAAAATATTATCCTTTTTACCCTGTTTTTCTATCCACCTTACACGATGATTTCATTAAATTGTTTTATGAATTTGTTTTCAAACATGTAAATGTATAATAATATCTTCAGCTATTTAATATTTTTGTCAATATGATCATCCAGGGTATATAATTATTACACATATTTTTACTTATTATTGATGTAATTTGTATAATTTGTTCTGTACTATGTATCTGTTTGATATTTATTTTAATGTATTATTTTAAAATAGGTATTTGGAATGTGATTAAAAGAATATAATTCTATATTTTGCTATTTTAATTATTATAATTTTATTTAACCAAACATAAATCATACAAAAAAAAGAAATTGGAATTTCATTTAGTATATATTTGTACAAAACTTCTATAGTATTATACAAGGTAAATAAAATGAATTTAATTTTATATCATTTAATCTAATGTATTGGGTTTAGGTAAATCTTCTAAGACATCAAGAGTTAAATCGTTAATATCCAGTTGCATAACTGAATTTAACATTTCAGCATTCCGATTCTCTTCAGGTTTAAAAATGTATCCATTAGCTCTATCAATGTTCTTTTTCACCAATTCCAATGTACGTTTATCCTTCACATTAAGTGGTAGAAATGAAACAATATTTTGCCCCTCAATTAGACTAACTATAGCTTTATTCAAACGATGATATCTATAAAACAAATTAAGATTTAATTATATGCATCTATACTTGATATTAAAAAAAAAAAATGTATAGTAGTTAAAAAAAAAAAAGGCCATCTATTAATTACAGTAATAAAAAGTTAAAATATTATCAAGGTTTAACAGAATATTCTTTTTCTTTGTCATTGTATCCCAACTATATTGAGTTTACCACCCTTGGTTCTACAGATTTTTAAGATCAATATCCTCCACTTATAAACTATTTTTATGTCATTTTTAACTCTGTCTATTCATCTCTTTTTGGTCTTCCTCTCCCTCTCTTTCTACATTTATTTGTATAGCCATTCTTGTTGCCTTCAATTCACCTTTCTTCATATCATAACCAGACTATATCAATGTATTTCTTCTAATTGTCCACAATTGGTGCCATTCATTCACTATCCTTAATAAATTAATTTTTTATTTTATCATTTCTAATCGTTCCTGATGTCTATTTTGGATTTTAGCATTCTCATATTTGCTAAGTACTTGAATCTATTCTTATTATCCAGTATATTTATCACAGAAGTAGTCTCACAAATTTTACTATTGTTTCTTTACACCTATTGTAATTGATATGAAAGTTGCAACAAAATACCAAAATGTTATTTACTTTTAGCAATATAACATCATAACATCAAACTTATAATGGATTTTAATTAAACCTCTCCAATATTATAACAAATTATCAGCACCACCACCCTCCAATTCTACCCAAATAAAATCCCTGACAATACCACTTTTAAACCAACTACATTGTTGTCATTTATAATAACATTGGTTTTATAACATTAATACCGGTAGATAAAGATAAAATTTGTATCACTAAGAGATATAAATATAAAATGTATAGTTGCTTAAAATTATAAATAATACAATAATCATTCTGATGTGAATGTCCTAGTTACAGTAGAACACAATGCATTGGTAAATAACATACTATACTCATAAGTCATATTGATAATTAGGTAGTATACAAAATGGAGTTAGGCTACATATTGAAAAATAAATATAATAAAAAAATAAAGATGATTCTAAAGGATTCTATAATATTGAATCAGTTTTTAAATATGCATTAGCTAATTAATAATGAAAATATATAAAATATTAAACCTCACATGATATAAATATTAACATAACATTTAGGTATACTGTGAATACAGATATTTTGTTTTTTGAATATTAATATTGTGATATCTTAATATTTCAATTAATAATTATATATTGAAATTTGTACTTACCTAGAAGTGTGAGGATCATTTTGCAACGCATCTAATAAATGATCAAGACTTAATACATCTGTATAATAATCTAAATTGAATAATAGCTTAGACTTGTGTTTAACAGCTATATCTATTTTTGATAATATATTTATATGAGGTAATTCCATTTGATACATAGTAGATGTACACATTAAAAGTGCTGATATGTATTTACCTGAACATAAATAATTATTATTATTAGGGTTACCAAATTTTGAAATCTCCAGTTGGTACATCATGACATTTTTTATATAAAACATACTCACATAGTAACAGATAAAGATAAAACCATCCCTGGTTAGATTTTGTAATTTAGATAACATAATATAAGATTATCATATAATTATACAGTGTATAATATTATTTCATGTTTTATTAATAAATAATACAAATCAAATGTTATTTTCTCTCAGTTTCTAATAACTGGGATAACTTTCAAGCCAAATTATTATGATTTTCATAATTTATGAATTATTATCTAAACCTTACGAAGGTATAGATCAAATAAATGGTTTAATCAATTAAAATATTAGTTCTAATAAACTGATTTAACATTTGGATTGTTTAATAAAAAAAAAGGAAGTACTTATTAATGAAAAACAAAAAAAAAAAATTCCGTTAATACATAGTAATTGGTAAGTAAAGTTATTTCATGTATTACATTTATATATTATAATAAATAATAATATATAAATTTACTTAAAAAGATTAAAAACGATAAATTTTAACTAAAAAGGTATAAAAAAAACATACCTGGATCACTACAATAATGACAATCGATGAGTTGAACACAACATAATCGCAAATCTAATTCATTTTTAATTGCAGACATAATATTTTTCATTGAGTTATGATGAGTGTATATTTCTACCTGAATAAAGTGAAACATTATTAGTTCCTGCTTAATATGCTAAATTATAACTAATGATGTACCTGTCCAGGACAATCAAAAAATAAATAATAATCAGTCAGTTTCCTCATTTTTTCCAATAACCAATCAAGCCTCTTTTCCAAGTATTCTATACAATAAATCAAAGCTCCATTGGGTCCTAAATTTACATAATCCATGACATCTTCAACAGTAATAAGTTCTGATATATCAATTGCTGCTTTGTAACATAATGAATCATTAGCTGGATCTAATAAAATAAACAATATGATAGCTTAATTTTATTTTGTAGGTCGATATAAACCAAACAAAATAAATCATTACTATGTACAAAGGGTTAGTGATAAATAGTAAAAATTAAACTTTAGCATTATATAAAAATAGCAAATTAATGGTAACCTTAAACCTAAAATTTAGAAATTGGTAGTCTTAAACTACATTAATAAAAATATAGTATTATTATTATTCAATATTCATAGATAATTTACCTATATTGATTATAGCTACTTGTCTACCTAATTCTTGTAAGTACTTGCTCATTTCATCACAATATGTAGTTTTTCCACAACCAGGAGGTCCAATGATAACTTGACCATATAGAGGCATATTGTTTAATAAGTTAACTTTTTGGTAGCCACTTCCGTTTCAGTTGCATGTACTCATAATCAATACTGTA